ATTATCTCAAAATAAACCTTCATTTCGATGCAATATTGAAATTAGCTTGAATTCTTCATAACCTCTGAATAGTGACGGAGACCAACTTGTGTTTGCAACTTTTAGGAACATTTAACGGACTTTAGCTGGCTAACTTTAATCTACAAATAAAGTGTACAAAAAATAGTCTACAAAAAAAAAAGAAAGAAAAAGATAAGCCAGGTATCTCGTCGATCGCGCCATTTAAAAATATTTGTTACAACAATTAGCTGTAACACTTATTAACATAAGTAAATCATTCTTACTTTTAATACATCTTTCTAAGGTTCTTTGATTACGTCCGTTTGCTGCAAAAATGATGCGCTCCGTACTTCGGGGCTGTTAGTGCGCTATAATAGTGACAGTCAAATCTCATTTTTGGTCAGAAAAGAGTAGCCAGAAGTTGGCGGTGCGACCAATTAACTAGTTGCTTTCATTCTACTCTGTCAGTTCAAAATAAGGTTCAACTATTTGCAGATAACCATTGCGTAGTTTTCCGCAAAAATTTTAAACAAAACAAAAAGTTTTAGTACAGGAGGGCAATGATAGCTACCAGGTACGAAACTTTGATTATATGATAACAATTACCTATCAACAATGTCCCCCGTCAGATAGCGATAAGTCTATAGAGTTACAATGCTAAAAGCCGGGGCTCGATTCCCCGTGGTTGACACAGCAGATAGCTCAATGTGGCTTTGCTCTGACACAAATCAACATAACAATATTTATGAAAGCAGATTGTTGACCTTCAGATACATATAACGACGTGAGATGGATAGTTCATGCTCTAAATATATATATATACACAAAACTAGGTGTCAGATGTTTCTGCTTGATCATATAGACTATTTAGAAAAATAATCATTGATCTCAGGAAGTATTGTGATCCATATCCGAACTATTAGTGGTGATATCTTCCCTTTTTTTGTTATGACAGAAGTAAAAAAAAAGTATTTATCACGTGGAGATATTAATATCGTGAGTTAGTGTGTAGTGTAATTTCCTCGTTTCGCTATGTTTTTCTTCGTCGTCGCCAGGTGTCAAATATTGACAAAAGAAAGGACAGGAGATTACAAAGGAATATCTCTTTGCCACCGTTCCGTGGAAAGACGGTGTTCTGAAATAAATGTCCGCTGAGTATAGGTCGACAGTAATGTATTTCTGGTCTAACTAGATGGTACTGTATACAAACGCACTTCCTTGGATAAAAGCACATGTCTGCTTTAGGAAGTTAGTTGCTAAAAATGCGATTTCGTTATTAACGTGGCAAAAATGTTAAAAACACACATATGGCTGTACTTGACTCTAATATACATTACTGTTACAATAGCTACTTTTTTTTGAAAATGTACATCGCTCCGTCTTCACGTTTTTCAAAACATTTGTATCTACTTTCCTTATTTTATCATTAGTTAAATATGCAATAACTGAAATTCAAAATTTAATTATTTTAATAACACTGTATTTTCACTATAACACGAAACGTCATTCGAAAAGAAAAAGGTCTGGCATCGTTGGCTCGAATCCCATCACCAAACATGCTCACCCTTTCAGCCGTGGGGGCGTTATAATGTAGCAGTTGGTCCCACTATTCGATTGGAGTATTCCAAGAGTTTGCGGTGGGTGGTGTTGATTAGTTATCTTCCTCTCAGACTCCTAAATTTGGGAAGGCTAACGCAGGTAGCCGTCGAGTAGCTTTGTGCGAAATTCAACAAACATAACGTTTGAAAAAACAACAACAAAAAAACGCAATTCTTATTTCACATAAAAGAATAGGAAGTTTGGAAGGCATTACATCCCTCTTCTGTGTGTGTCACTAATAACTTTCAAACAAGTCTAATAGAAAGCTAAAGAATGAGAGGAAGGAAAACTAAGCTTTCTCTGTCTATAATAAGCTTCATAAAAAGGTTCTGGTACATATTTTACATATATAGCATTCTAGGGATTGAATATTTAAAAGAATGAGAAATTGAGCTAGTACTAGACCTTTCCCTTCTATATCAAACTCCTGTTTAAATGTTTAAAAGAACAAAATAATGGGTGGTACCAGAACTTTCCCGTCTATAGCAAACTTCTGTTTAAATGTTTAAAAGAACAAAATAATGGGTGGTAGTAGAACTTTTTCATCTATAGTAAATTCTGGCTTCAATATTTAACATAATAAGAGGAAAGGTGGAATTAGACTTCTAGATTCATAACAAGCTCAATTTAAATATTTAAAAGAATAAAAAGAAATGCTGGTACTACATCTCCATCCATAGTAAAATAATAAGAGGAGTGATGGTATTAGATCATCTTCATCCATTTTAAGGGAATAAGATAGGTGCTAATATTAGATATTCTCCATCCATAGTAAGAGAATAAGGGGAGATGGCGGTATTCAAACTTCTCCATCCATAGAAAGAGAATAAGATGATATGCTGGTATTAGATATTCTCCATCCATAGAAAGATAATAAGGGGAGATGGCCGTATTCAAACTTCTCCATCCATAGTAAGAGAATAAGGGGAGATGACTGTATTCAAACTTCTTCATCCATGGGAAGAGAATAAGGGGAGATGGCCGTATTCAAACTTCTTCATCCATGGGAAGAGAATAAGGGGAGATGGCCGTATTCAAACTTCTTCATCCATGAGAAGAGAATAAGATGATAGATATGCTGGTATTAAATATTCTGCATCCATTGTAAGAGAATAAGAGGAGATGCTGGTATTAGATCTTCTCCATCCATAATAAGATAATAAGAGGAGATGCTGGTATTAGATCTTCTCCATCCATAGTAAGATAATAAGAGGAGATGCTGGTATTAGATCTTCTCCATCCATAGTAAGATAATAAGAGGAGATGCTGGTATTAGATCTTCTCCATCCATAGTAAGATAATAAGAGGAGATGCTGGTATTAGATCTTCTCCATCCATAGTAAGATAATAAGAGGAGATGCTGGTATTAGATATTCTCCATCCATAATAAGCTCTAGCTTAAACTGTGGAGAATCATGTTCTGTTAAACATGTTAATTTCTAGCAGACTGACGTGTCATTGAACAAAATGAGTTTATTTTAAAACTTCTGGCGGAGTAGTTTTTGTCATAATTTAGCCTTTAATATTTTGCATAGTTATTTCTAATGGTCGAAATTTATTTATGTATTTTTTTATCGCTAGAAGGCATGGTTAGTCACATTAGAATACTATTCTAAACACGAACACCGTTTGTTTTTTCCACTTTCATGTTTTACCATGATTCAGTCAGTTTGGTATTCCAATTGCCAGTGAGAAACTTATACCAATTACCCGCCTCTGTCTTTCAATGATACCTAGTAGTTTCCATACTTTCTAAATATTTGAGTCATCTAGAAATAATAAACGACTGAATTATCAAACAATAGTACAACTTTCATTATAACTGTAAGTTTTTAGTTTTTTCTTACAGTGACATAATAAAAACATTCCAATGGTGATGTTTGTTTGTTTTAGAACAAAGCCACATTGAGCTATGTGCTGTGTCCACCACGGGAAATCGAACCCCAGATTTTAGCGTTTTATGTCCTTAAACTTACCGCTGTCCTTTCGGGAGACCCGTGATGATATCAGATAATTTTTTATGATTGATTCGATATAATTGCAAATAATATTGCGTTTATTCATTAAAATTTATGAGGTGTTCAATTCATTTATTGAGGTGTTTCTGGTTCTAGCAGTTACTAGCTAGAGATGTTTTCGCCCTTTCATTTTCGAGTATAGTAATCGAATATTAAACACCCCAACAGGTTCACCGTGCTTCCAGGGGTATCAGAGTAGTTTGGTTAAAAAGAATAGAACTCATTAATTTGAACTGAGATGCTTCTTGAATGTTGAGATGAACATTTTGTTTTTCTAGTTATGGAAGTTAATCAAAACAGGATGTTATTTATTTTCCATCAAGCTAACCGAAATAAAAATAGCCAGTCATGGCATAATATTACACAGTACAGCCAATTTGCCTTTAAGTAAAGCCGCCATGATAGCCCGCATCTAAACAAAAGTAGTAAAATAAATGTTGCTTTACATGAAATTTATGCGTAATTTCCTATCAAACAAATTTAGCTTAGCAGATCAAATATACTAAAGACTATTCGGTCTGTGCTAAAAAATAAAAGGTTAGATTCACTCGTTTGCTAATGTCATTCTAAAAACTTTATTTGTTAAACTACAAAGCTTGGCGTTTGTTGCTAAACTTATTCTAATGAAACACAAGATGAAACAAAAAGATACATGATAAGCTTTAATTAAAAGCTATAATCTTCAGGAATATGATTGCTGAACCTATAACTTGTTTTATTTCATGCTAGTATTTTCGATAAGTTGATTTTCCGTCAGATATCGTTTTGTTGTAGTTTTTATTTCTTGTCAACAGGTGGATGCCACAAGTTTGGAAGAATCAGGTCGGATTCATACAGGAACTGGATGTTATAAAAACTTTGATCGTATCATGCATGGGGGAATATTGGGTCGTCGAAAGGATTCCCAGGCTCAGGCCCTACCTCTTGAGATCATAAGCCCTACTGCTAACAATCTAGTCGACATTTCGACCACCAAGAATGGTCCAGATGAGGACAGTGGTGGGGCTCCTGAGGGCACAGAAATGTATCCCCTCAAGACAATTATCAATAGTCATCAACCAGATTATTCTTCGTCGGTGAGTTTTCTTCGTATTTCCTGTGCTTTACAAAATGTGATTTAATTTTGCGTGTTCATGCAGTTAGTACACCGAAATTTGTATTTAATAAATATTTTTTGTAATTAACTTAATCTCACTTGAACAGGATGGCAAATTCTATGTCTTTGAACGATTTGTTCTGTTGGATAAGCTAAGCATAATTAAGCTAATCATCGTTCTTAAATAAAAAGTTAAGTTGTTGCTAGAATCCTTACCTAGCCCATGTTTAATTTTTCTTTATTATCTAAATATATTTATATTTCTTAGTTGCTACACGAAGTTAGAATTGAGTTGCCGGAGTAAGATTGCAGGCCTACGCAATGTCCACAGTGTTTTCAATCAAGTTAAAACGTTCATACATTTGAGCTTTAGAGGTATAATAATAATAATATACTGAATACATTGAAGGCCACAAATATTCTGTTCCAGCTTATTTCAGGAACTGTAGTCATTTTACAAAGTCATTCGTGGAGTACCAAAAATAGGCAGCCTATTTTTTCCAAGTGTTTCATCACTGCTGTAAACTTTTTAATTTTCCAGACATGAAATTACAGCTAACAACATTTATTTCCAGGCGTGTAATTACTGCTGAAAATTTCTGTTTTTCCCAGGCGTGTTATTATTGCTGAAAATCTTTCTTTTCAGGCGTGTAATTATTACTCCCAGGCATATAATCACTGCTGACAACATTTATTTGCATGTATGTTATTACTCCTGAGAGCATCTTTCTTCAAATATGTAATCACTCCTGACAACGTGTCTTTTAATATATGTAATAATTACGGAGAACTTTTCGATGAAACTCCTTTTTTCTTAAGAGCAAGGTATATTCCCTGAAAGGATGGCAACACGATAGTAAAATGCTCTAATTGGTTACTGCAATTGATTATTTCTTTATTATGTAAATAAATTTATTTATTAAAGTTTCGTACGTGTGTTATACGTATGTACTGATTGTTTTCGGCTTGCATTTGTTCCAGTTAACAATATTTAGTAACAGTAACGAACACACCATTGTCGGCTATAATTTTTATTTTATTTTTGTTTACTGGAGCAAGTATGTTTTTTACGATATTAATGATTGGCGAAGTCTAGAAATTTCACGAAAGTTTAGGCCTATGCAGAATTTCGAAGTTTCTTTTAGTAAGTAAAAACTAGTACAATATAAAAATGCCACATTGAGTGAGTTAGTTAATCAGTTGAGTGTTAGTTATTAAGACAGACAGTGAGAATTAATGAGTCTGTTACGTTGATTAATTTGGTAAGCGAGTCAACGAGGCAGCGTGTTTTGTTATTGATCAGTTAATGAAAAATTATTGCAAGTAAATGTCTTGAGCTATATTTTTGAGTTAGGCTTCGGAATTTTTACTGAAACGTTGCTTGGGAAGTTCGGCTTACCAATAAACATAGCCTGTAGCCTATATAAGACATTATTAAAGAAACTAATTAATTTCTTATCGTCACATGAACTACATCTTTTATTAATTTTACCGAATAATCCAAAAGAACCTACCCAGCAACAGAATATTTTGCAACACTAGTTTCAGAATTGAGATTATTTTGATAAAAATAAAATAGAACCAACTAAACTTCAAGATGACAAAACAAAGATGAAGCGAGATCAAAAATTTGTTGGAGATGATGAAACAGAGGAAAAAAGAACAAGCAGAAAGAGATAGCATTAAAATAAGATCGAGAAGAAAGAAACAAAAAATTAGAAGAAAAAGATAGAAAATTAAAATGAGACCAAGAAAAAGTTTATACAAATTTAAAAGAAGAATTAACAGAAAAAATTATAATGTTTAGAAAAGAATTAAATATAGACCCCAATAAAATACAGAAAGGTTGTAATGACAAAATTGAAGAAATACAAAAAATTATAACAGTAAGATTAATGAGGTAGAAAAGAATATCAGTGATAGAATAAAACATTTGGAAAATGAAATGATAAATGCAAATATCAAACCAGGCACATCTCTTTCTACATCCGCCCAGGAACTCCAATCTAAACTACCATTTACCACAAAATATGGTTTGTTTGTTTGAATTTATGCACAAAGCTACACTATGGGCTATCTGTCCTCTGCCCACCACGGGTATCGAAACCCGGTTTCTCGCGTTGTAAGTTCGCAGACTGGGGGGCACAAAATATGTAATAAAATAACCTATTTGTTCTACACCTGTTGCCACTAATGTTGTGCTATATATCACTGTAGGACATTCCAGAACTACTCAAGCCATGACGTTATCAAATTCAGTTTCAGAATTTAGCTGGCTAGTTCAAGAACTGTGCTCAATCGCAAAACTAATGGATTATGATGTGAAGGTACCCTGGGAGACATACCAGGCTCAGTTTGAAATCATTTCTAAAGTGAATTGTTGTAATGGTGAACAATAAGTTATTCATCTTGCCTCCTATATGAAAGGACTAACTTCAGTAACATTAAGCAACATTTCAGTTGATAGCCATAAACAACTACCACACATTGGTAGCTACCTTATCCAACAGGTTTGGAATAATATACCAGAAGGAAGTATCCAAATCAAAGTTCAGGAACAAAGCTGAACTTTTAGAAGATTTAGAAAGACTTGGCCAGTTATCTTATCCAGATACTCTACACAGAGTAACGTATTCACAAGCATGGGATCAATTCATAGATATCATAAAATATAAGGATACACAAAATTAATTATGCTGAATCAAAGTAGGTGTACATCCTTAAAGGAAACTCTCCAGTTAGCGTTGGAACTTGAATCCATTAAAGTTACAGATAAACAACTAAAGACACCATCTAAAAGTTACAGAAACATGAGATCAAGTTGTATTGAGACACCAACCCCCTCCTCTGACGATAGTCTAGAAGAACTGAAAGTTTAATTAAATAACTAGTTACACAACATGGAGGAAGCAAAGCGCAGGACAATATGAGTTTCAAGTGTAACTTGAAAGAACATATCGCCAGGAACTGCAGAAAAACGCCTATGGGGAATAGAAACTCCCCCCCCCCAAAGGATGTCAGAAAAAGGGGACTGTAATAATTGTTGGGAAAATGTACATTGCAGTCGAGACTGTGATTAATCAATAGTTCGTAAAAAACAAGGATATAATACCATAAGAAAGAGTCTCTGAGCCCAATCAGATCCAAGGAACAACAAAAAGCTAACCAGACATTAAAAAAATAAAAAATATATATTAGCTATACTTATGGGGTGAAGTTCAGATGAGAATACATCAAATTAGAACTGGACGATTAGTGGTATTTCTTAACAGATTAATACGGCTCATTAATGTATTAGTACACACACACACACACATCCAAACAAAAAAAAACTGTTTCAACCACCGTATTGTCCTCACGTGGTGTTAACTTTTAATTTTTAAAGTGATTTTCCAATGGCCTTTTCTTTCATATGATAATCCTCTTCTGAAGATCGACATTTACACATCTTGCAAACAAAAACAAAACGTTTTTTTTTGTTTAAAAAATATTTTGCCACAAATTGTGTTAAAGAATAATCTGGACATTTCTTTCTTAGCGAATGAATCGCTAATGTCGACTAAATACCACCACGCGGTCTCCATTATGTTTGTTTTTCAACTATACTGTAATCCCACTCTAATCTTCATTAAATCAAGTAAATCGATCATTAAATAATGAAAATATGTTTTACTCTCACCAATAAAGCACATCGCGATTGCAATTACAAACATTTAAGTTGCTAGTTATTCAATTTACTTATGTACGTTGTTTGAGTAGGATAAACACAAAAATAATATTCAGTAAAGATCTGATTCATCAAAATATTTTTAATCGCCTACCATATTTACTAGACAGTAAACTTGATTTATCTGATATGGTGACAATTTTATTTAGTGAACATAATTGTAAATCTCATGTTTACAAACACCGCAACTCAATAAAACAATGGGAAATTTATTAAAAGTAAAAACATCGTAATTAAACAAAGGACCAAACATCAGCAAGATTCTTTTATTAAGCCTTCAACAATCTCCAGTCCCATTACTTCTTTACTTCTTATCTATAGAAATATAATAACACTGTCCACGCAACTACTTCGCAGGGTGTGGATGGCTCTTCACCAAAACTGGTATGTAGGTTCATCAAGTCCATACGAGGATACACACAAACTTCAGTTTTGCGTTTTGCAGTTTTTGTGGGCAATTTTGCGCTTTTACCACTACTCCACCCCCTGTTGATGGATCTTCACCTAATTTGGCATGAAGGTTTGTAGGGTCCATGCGGAGATGCAAACTTGCGCTTTCACATTATGTGTTTTGCAGTTTTTAATTGGCGTTTTTTTTTTACAATTACATATAAGGGAAGCAATTTCTCATGTCCTAAGATAACCTTTTATTAATCATTAATTTACATAACTTCCGTCCAGGGGGCGGGTACTCCAGCTAGTTGAATATATATATATTCCTATCTATAGAAAAGCTACTTATATCCGATAATGAAAAAACCTTCTCCAAACGTTGTACAGTTGCTAGTGTGTGTTTTTTTTTGTTACCTATTCAACCGGTCGTTAAATTGTATAAGCTTACCTTATACCAAGTTTTCTGATGTCTTGTCACTGAAGAAAATTTATGTACTTTCAAACAGTTATAGTCTAACACACAAATAATTTTACAATTCACAATCAAAAGGAACATTTATAGAAACTATAAAAAATCTTAAACATTGTTACGTATTACAATTTCAAATAGCCTAAAACTGAGTTAAATTGTAATTTAGATCTAATAGTTAAATAAATGCCGATATATATCCAATTTATGATATTTGCCAACACGATTGATACACACACAGTTTTCTTTTTTATCAAATATATTTT